CCCTTTCTCTCTTCCCCCAGTCTCTCTGAAAAACAGTGGAAAAAGTATCCTCCAGTGAGGATAAAAACATACACACAAAAAACACACATAAGGGACCCATGCTGTAGAGAGAATCTTGATAGAAGCAACAGTAATGATGAGACAGCTTCTTTGTAAAAATCTTCGATTTCTGGAAGATAGCAGAATATAGTGGTAAGGATTTTGGAATTTAAATCCTGGCTCTTCTACTTACTAGCTGTGTGATCTCTTAGATAGGTTGCTTAACTTCCCTGATCCTTAGTTTTCTCATTTGTAAATTGGGGCTAATCATAACTGTATATATGTGTATTAATTGCCTAGCACAGTGCCTGGCACATAGTAAGTATTCAAAAAAATAGCCATTATGACTGTTGCTGTTAACTTCCTTGCAAGATATTTAGATTACTAGACATAATTCTTGGAAAATATGCATCATATATTCTGATTTAAAGAGTCAGGAAGGAGAAGGAATCCATTTCTAGAGACCCCAAAAGGCGGCCTTATATGAGGGCCTATCTGTGTAGAAATTATTAGAGCATTTTAAAAATTAAACTTTTTTGGGGGGGAAAAAGTAAATTCTATAGAAAAGTTGTAAAAATATTAAAACAAATTCCTGTGTGCCCCACCTAGTTTCATACATTGATAATGTTGGCCATATTTGCTTTACCTTTACCTTTACCTTTTTTATATGTAATATAATATACACATTTTCCTTCCTTTTTTTTTTTGCTGAGGTAAGTTGCAGAGATCATGACCCTTCATCCCTAGATACTTCAGCATTTATCTTCTAAAAACAAGGACAGCCTTTTACATAGCACACTATAAATCAAATCTGGGAAGTTTAACATTGATGCCTATTATTATCTGATACACAGTCCATATTCAAATTTTATTGATTGTCCCAATAACTATTCTTTGTAACAATTTCTCCCCCAATCTATAATTTTGCATTGCAATTAGTTGTCATTTCTTTGGTCTCTATTAACCTGGAATAGCCCCTCAGCCTTCCATTGTTTTTCATGATTGACATATTTTGAAGAACATTGGCTTGTTTGTAGACTGTCCTTTAACTAAGGTTTGTCTGCTTGTTCCTCATAAATCCATACAGGTTATGCATTTTTGGCAGGTAGTATATCCTTAGTCCCTCACACAAGGAGACATTATTGGTGATGTTAATTAACTTTGATCACTTAGCTAAGAGATTTTTTTCTCTATAAAAGTAACTTTCCCTTTGTAATTAATAAGTAATCTATAGGGAGATACTTTGAAACTGTATAAATATACTGTTCCTCAACACACTTTCCCCCAATGGTTTTAGAATCCTAAAGAGCTTTTTTATATCATAAACGTGGTTTCCTGACCTTGATCGAAAACTTCTTGAGGAAACAGTTTTTACTTTAAAAATTATGTTACAGTACCTTGTACATAGTAAGTACTTAATATTATTGACTACCTGACCTTGAGCTGCCTGTCCAGATTGCTGATTACATTTTTCCAATGGATTTTGTCTGCTTACCCTGAGAAGAATTTAGCGATACTTACAGAGAAGTCCTGTCATATGCAAGTTAGAAATGGTCACTAAATGGACTGATTAGGCATTCTTAGCAGGGCTCGCAGACCAGTGAGATGGGAGTAGTGATTAAGTATTTTGAAAGACTACTTAATAACAATAATGAAGAAAAGCTCTGATTATCATCACTGGAAAAACTTGTTAAATGTATAGTACCCTTCTTCCATTTTAATTTGCATTTGTGATGAAAGAAAGTTTCTGGGTGGTGGTGTCTTTTACTTTAGACTCACTTTTTTTATTTATGCCAGCCTAATACTTAGAGTATTAGGGTGTCACCTTCAGTCTCTAAGAATTAGGTCAGGTTTCTTGTAGATCTTGTCACATTGCCACTTGAAATTTAGCTGGAGGAAAGAAAGTAAGGCACAGTTGCTGTTGTTTAGATGAACATCTTATTCAGAAGGGCTTATTGGAGTCAGTGAGGCAGAGTAGAATGTCCTCATTCTGTCTGGCACTTACTTTGTTTCCTGCCTCTGCTCTGAGGATCTTTCTTCCATCTTTCACTGTACCATATCTTGGGCAGAGATGGCAGCTGATAATTAAAATTCCTCTACCCACAATTTCTGGCTGATGCCTAAAATTTCATCAATGGCAAGAAATTAATTTGTGTAAATTATGTTACCCAATAAAAATGCAGATATTCTTGCTGGGGATTGAGGTAGCACAAGCCAACATCTAAACATGAAATATCAAATATTCAGAACTTTTATATGATAGCTAGTTGCTAGAAGCTCCCTGTAAAATGAGACAGTGATAAATAAGTTTTTTCTTGGGGGAAGAAGCAGCCTGGGTAGGGTTTTAATACTTGGGGACTCTGAACAAGCAAAAATAAGGTGATTGAGACTCTGAAAGAGAAAGGGGAAATGAATATTGAAGAAGGAAGAGGAAGGACATTTAAAAGATACAGTACAGCCCAGCCGGGCGTGGCCTAGGATCCAGGCAATCGGGGTTTGATTCCCCGTCAGGGCACATGCCCAGGTTGCAGGCTCAATCCCCAGTCGGGAGTGTGCAGGAGGCAGCCAATCAATGACTCTCTCATCATTGATGTTTCTATCTCTCTCTCTCCCTCTCCTTTCCTCTCTCTGAAATCAATAAAGATATATTTAAAAAAAAAAAAAAAGATACAGTACATTTACACCACAATTTCCATAGATCCCTGGTGGAGTAGTCTCTGAAATCTACAGAGCATTTAGAGTTAAGAAATCCATGCTTTGTTAAACCAGGAATTGGTTATGGCCACTCATTTAAAAAAGGTTCTTTCCCCCATCTGCACCAAAGACATACCTTTTACATTTCCTTGCATTGGTCATGTATCCAGGTGTTCCAGGGATGATAGAAGGGGCAGTATTAAAGCTGTATAACTTTCTCAGCCAGGTTATTCCAGTCTTTTGCATGCAGTCAGGATATGAAATGAGTAGTTAATATGCAGGCTTCATTGGTCAGGGGGAGTAATTGCCAAGGTCAGGTGATTAATTTTGGCCATTGTTCCACAGGGAGGCATTTCAGAGTTTCTACTGGAGCCTGTGTTTGTAAAGCTTTGTTTTTGCCAGATGCAATTGCCTCTTCTTTGTGAAATATGTGCTATGGAATTGATCTTTTGCTGAGTATATCTGTGTTAACATCTCTGAAATACTGGTGACAGACTTTTTTCTCCCTCAATGAGAAAAAATTCTTTTTCACTTTCTATGACCGGTTAAAAGAAGATGGATGCACAGAGTTCAGCCAAAGTCAACACAAGAAAGAGGAGGAAAGAGGAACCTGGACCCAATGGGGCAACAGAGGAAGATGGGATTCCTTCCAAAATGCCACGCTGTGCAGTTGTAAGTAAGGAAGAGATTTCTGTGTTGTACATTTAACCTGGCAGGGGCAAGATAGAAAACTGATATAACATTACATGTCTTCTTAAATAATGGAAAGAATGAATAGGAAGTGTGGATTGTATTTTCAGAGTTGTTGGAAATCTTATGCTTTCTTATTAGATTATAACTCACAGCTCAGTTGTAACAGCTTTACATTGGAATTGGAAAAAGAATGTTAGGAAAATTTGGAGATTGTGTTGTATATTAGTCTAAAGATCAAATTCAAACTAATGAAATAGAGAAATCAGGGCTCCAAGCAGTGATCTGATCTTGGTGTCATCTCGTGATGTTTAGTTTTCTATGTCTTACTGTCTTTTCTCCCATATCATTTAAACACTCTATTACTGTTTATATCTTAGATGAGAACTTTTTCTATTACTGCTTACCTTATATTCCTTTATCTCTGGGACATTATCTTTATATTTCTAATTGTTACCAAGCCTTCAGTGAAATACTCCATTCCAAATTGCTCATCCTGTCTCAGGTTTGTACCTTTCCTAAAGCTTCCCCGCCAAAAACATGGCAAAGAACACACAATGGAAGTTATTATTAATATACAATATTATTATGAAATCTGGGTTTCAAATCCCACTGACAGAATTGCATGTTTCTGTATTTTCTTTACCTATATTGACCAGTGATCAAACTGAAGTTTCCATTGGTTAGTTCTGGAGCTTCATAGCCCAAAGGGAAAAACATTTGTACTCTGACACAGTTGACAGTTGTTCCAAACCAGTACTCTCTCTTGAGCAGTAAAGGCAACTGAACTTCACAGATAGGAGTCATATGATTCAGGCCTCACAGTGATATTTGTGGGGCAAGTGTATTAGTTTCCTATTGCGGCTATAACAAGTTACCATAAGTTTAGTGGGCTAAAACAATACAGATATGTTATCTTACAGTTCTGGAGGTCAGAAGACTGAAATGGGTCTCAGAGAGTTGAAATCAAAGTGTTGGCAGGGCTGGAGGATCTAGGGGAGAATGTTTCCTTGCCTTTTCCAGCTCCTTTAGGCTGCCCACATTGTTCTGCTCACAGTGCCAGTCAGCAATTATATCACTTTGATCACTGCTTCTGTCACTGACATCTTATTCTAACTCTCCTGCTGCTTCCCTCATTTACTTATAAAGATCCTTATGATTACATTGGACATACATGGATAATCCAGGGTAATCTCCCTGTCTCAAAATTCTTTAATATAACAATATCTGTAAAGTTCCTTTAGCCATGTAAAGCATAGTCATAGGTTCTAGAGCATAAGATGTGCATATCTTTAGGGGGCCATTATGCTGCACACCACAGCAAGTAAACTCATAAAACGACAATGACTCAGCAGTCAGCAAAATAGGACATTGTTAGTTTCCAAATGTTTCTTAGACAGTTTAGATTAAGGAGATAGTGGTGGGCACCAATTCAGGAATCTCACTTGGGGTCGGGACAAGTTATAACCAAGTAGGTGGTGCTCTCAGTCAATCACCATAGCCAGGAGTAGAGCAAAGAAGGCCTGTCTTAATGGAATGGGCTCTGAGAAGACTTAATTTTTTGGTCCTTATAATCTGAGAAATTTCAGTGCTTTAAATTAGTTTGCTTCATATATTCATGTCACAAATCAGCTGAGTGACTTTTGTTGCCTATTCCACATTCTTCTCTGGCACACACTGGCTATTTAGCATGGGCTAATGTTTAAAGGTTCACTCGCCCAACTGGCTGGACTCATCCTAATAAGGCATATATGTTAAATAAACTTGTTTGTCATCTCCGTCGTATACCTGTACTTTCTGTCTGTCAACCTCTTTCAACTCTGTAGCAACAGCTAACAAGATATTTTTCTGGTTTTGTTGTTGTTGTTGTTAATCCTCACCCAAGGATATTTTTTCCATTGATTTTTAGAGAGTGGGAGGGAGGCAGAGAGAGAGAAAAAAAACATCAACGTGAGAGAAATACATTAATTGGTTGCCTTCTCCATGTACCCTGACCAGGGCTGGGGATTTAACCTGAAACCCAAGTATGTGCCCTTGACCTCTGGGAATCAAACCCACAACCCTTTGGCAGGCCGATGTTCTAACCACTGAGCAACACCGGCCAGGGCAATATTTTTCTTTTTTAATAATAGCTGTATTATAATCCACCAGTTTAAAATGTATAACTCAATTTTAGTATATTCACAGAGTTGTGCAACCATCACCACAACCAATTTTAGAAAACTTTTTATCACTCCAAAAAGAAGCCCAATACCTGTTAGCAATCAGTTCCCATTTCCTTCCAACCTCCCCATTTCCTTCCAACCTCCCCAGCCTCAGGAAACCACTAATCTACTTTTGGTCACTATAGATTTGCCTGTTCTAGACATTACATACAAATGACATCATACAGTATGTGGTCTTTTGTGGCTGACTTCTTCACTGAGCATGTTTTCATGATTCATTAATGTTATAGCATGTATCAGTATTTCATTCCTCTTTATTGACAAATAGCATGCCATCATATACCACATACCACATTTTATTTATCCAATCATTAGCTGACATTTGGGTTGAGAAAACAAGATATTATCATAGACTTTTAATGTACCAGTGTGGCAGTAGGTACTAGGTGTATAAAGATAAGCAAAATCTTCCCTTTGAAAGATGTGAGCATAATGTAGAATTCTATGGCTCAGAGCTCATTAACTTTAAAAAAGTGCTTTCCTTGCAAGCAGGGAAAGGAATGGGAAGGATCACCAAGTATCCTTAGGTAGCTGGGTTGATGGGTCAGGATGAAATGGATAGAAGAGAGAGAAAGGAGTTGAGGAAAAATTAAGGAATAACTTTATGGTAGTTTGTCTATAAGTATAAAGAATTTACTGATATGGATGTTTCTAAAGGTACAGTCAAGGATCACAAAAGTATTTGCAAAGAATAAGACATTTGGCTTACCTTAATATTTATCATATATATGAATAAATTACGAAGTACCTAAACTCTGGGGAAAACTGGCCACAGTTCTACTTATGGAGATAGATCTTATAATCTCATTTCAATCAATTTATATTGAGAACCTCTGTATGCCAGTTGCTAGAATTAGAGATTCAAAGATGAAAAGATGACCTCTGGGGCAATGCCTCCCCCAGTGCCAAGGATATCAAGAAGATCCTGGATAGGGCAGGCATAAAGAAAAGAGCATAGGGAATATAGTTGATAATATTGTAATAACTATGTATGTTGCCAAGTGGGTACTAGAAATATAGGGGGAAACACTTTTTAAAGTATATGATTATCTAACCACTATGCTGTACACCTGAAACTAATACAAAATAATATTGAATGTAAAAATTTTTAAAAAGATATATCTATATTGATTTCAGAGAGAAGGGAGAGAGAGAGAAAGAAACATCAATGATGAGAGAGTCATTGATCGGCTGCCTCCTGCGTGCCCCTGACTAAGAATTGAGCCTGCAAGCCGGGTGTATGCCCTGACCGGGAATCGAACCGCAATCTCCTGGAACCTAGGTCAATGCTCAAACGCTGAGCCACACCTGGCCGGGCAAATGTAAACTATAATTTAAAAATAAAATAAATTTAAAAACTATAGTAATTGAACCTTGAATGCTATTGGCATGTCAATGGGAGGGATTGACCCTCCAGGCCAATTGGCTACAAGGACTGGCCATGACTACAGCTATAGTGGAGGAACTGTGGTGCAGGTGCTAACCCCATGATGCAGAACTTGATTCAGTGGAACTCTGTTGCCCACCAGGTCCACCCCTTGAGTGTGTTGCTCATGTGGAGGTGGTTGGATGGTGTTCCAGCGTGGTCTGAAGCTGGTCACTGAGTACACTGGGTCTGGGGTCTTCCAGGAGATGCAGGCTGAGGTGAGCCACTGCCTGTGCCCTTCCTGAGGCCACCTGCATAAGCTACAAAGCTATCTGCAGATCGCTGCTACTTGTGCTGGGATTAGAGGTGCCTGGGAGAGGCCAATCTGTGAACCAAGTCGCTGCTGCTAGTGGAGGGCTTGGGGCCACTTAGCAAGAGGTATACGCATGCTGAAGCCAGATGATGGTTGTTTGGGGTTTGTGAACATTTGAGAGAATTTCAGAAAGTCTTCAGCATGATCCATTCAGGCTGTTTTTATGGAAAGGTCACTGGAAGCAGCTTGTATGGGCTGCAAATTCAGTTGGGCAGCGTCTCAGAATCACCAGGGCAGGTTGAACAGTGTTACTTACGTTAATGGAAACTTGGATATGGCACTAGCCTGTGCCTGCAGGCTACTGGGTAGGGGCTCAGCAAAGGAACAGTGGCCTCCACCAGCACTTCTCTCTGGGAGAAAGCTGCCCCTCCAGCCCTTGCTCCAAAGCCAGACAATTCAGTTCCTCCCCACCTTTAGAGTGCCCCCCCAGCCACCCACCCAGTGCTGGAGCTCATAGTAGGTGAGTCCAAGTAAGTCTGTGCATGGGCCCTTTAAGAGAAATGCCTGAAATTCCAGCAGCCCTTCATTTTACTCAGCCCCAATCTCCCCTGGTTTTCATAGCCAGAAGTTATGCAGACTTCTTTTCCTGGTACTGCAACCCTGGGCTGGGGGGCCTGGTGTGGGGCTGGGACTCCTTGCTCCTCAGGGGGCACCTCTGCAGCTAAAATAGCCCTCATGAAATTTAAGTGCCGCATGTAGGTGTAGAACCAGCCCGTTCCACATCTCTGTCCCTCCTACCAGTCTTGATGTGGCTTCTTTATATTCTTAGTTATAGGACTTCTGTTCAGCTAGATTTCAGATGGTTCTGAATGATGGTGGTTTTGTAGTTTAGTTGTATTTTTGATTTGGTTGAGGGAGGATGCCAGTACTGCATTCACCTATTCTGCCATCTTAATCGGAATTCCCTACTTCCAAGGATTCTTAAACAGTTTTCAGCAAAAAGTTTCAGAATGCCACAGAGAAAATTTTTCTTTTCCCCAAGCATTCTTCACAAATGGTAACGTCCTTCTGAGATCCA